GAGCTGAAAGCTGCCCAGACATCAGTCGCTTTTGGATGTATTAAATATGCCCTGTTTTGAAATTGCAACAGGTCCTCACGGCAGAAGAGCTGAAAGCTGCCCAGACATCAGTCGCTTTTGGATGTATTAAATATGCAGATCTCTCCCACAACAGACTAAACGATTACGTATTCTCCTTTGACAAGATGCTGGATGACCGAGGAAACACAGCTGCGTATTTGCTGTACGCCTTCACACGGATCAGGTAGTTTGAGCGTGCAGGGAGTTGCTTGGAGTTGGTCTGTGATGCTCTCTGCATCTTTGTCACAGAGGGAGATGTGGGGAAAGGGGTGACTTAATTGCGTCAGTGCTGTTGGGTGTAGTTGGTAAGAGAAGGCAGCTACACGGCTATGTACCATAGGCAAAATTTTATTTGTCATTGGAAATGGTGTCCTCTGCTATCTGAAACAGGGCTCCTCGGTGCGACACGCACCCCGGCCCTTTAGCTAGCAGGGCGGGAACTGTGGGAGTTTCTGGTAATTCCATTAGAGGACTTAGGTGGTCAGAGAGGGGTGAGCCTGCGTTCCAGCAGCTGCTCACCTTGGGTGTCACCATGCCCCACACAATTTTTCTGGCACCGAGCCCTGGTTTGCTTGGCAGCATCAGCTGTCCTTGCCGACACACGTGCCCAGAGCACATCCCTCCCTGTTCCGCTCCAGTGCCCTGTTGGATCGCTCTGAGGGCAGTGCCTCCCCATGCATTCCCAGGGCTGGTTGCTGTCTACTGGCCTGGTAACCCAGGACTGGGCAAGTGAGGAGGTCAGCGGGTGGCCAGTGCTAGCTCTGAGACAAGCCAGACATGTGACCAACTTGCAGGCTGGCCCTCAGGCAGGTTGAGCAGTGGGACCCTCACAAGCAGACTGTGTTTTGGACCATTTCAGGGCTATTGCTCGCCTGGCCAATATTGATGAGCAGATGCTGCGGAAGGCAGCCAGGGAGGAGGTGCTCATCCTTGACCATGAGAAGGAGTGGAAACTGGGCAAGTGCATCCTGAGGTTCCCTGAGATCCTGCAGAAGATCCTGGAGGACTTGTTATTGCACACGCTCTGTGACTACCTTTACGAGCTGGCCACCACCTTCACCGAGTTCTACGACAACTGCTACTGCGTTGAGAAGGACAGGCAGAGTGGTGAGTGTTGCCCTAGGGGTACTGTGTGTGCCTGTGTCACATACCATGGTACAGGCAATGTGCAGGGGGGTTTCCCTGCGCTGGGAAGGCCGTAATCACACTACTTGCTGCTGCAGAACAAGTGTTGTCCATGGGGGAGGACTGAAGGTGGCTGGCACAGCCTGCGTCGTCATCTGCACGTGAGCAGGAAGGTTGAGTAAAGAGTTGTGAGCAGCCCAGCCAGGTACCTGAAAACAAAAGGGCTGGTCAGTCTGCCTGGCTTGGGGAGAACAGGAGGGAGCTCAGCCCCAAGGCCAGGTTGTGGGTGGATGGGGTTCCCCTGGGGAAGGCAGTGTTAGTTGTTCTGAGCAGCTGCTCCAGCTCCTGTGTTGGTGTTTTGCAGGCCAGATTGTGAAGGTGAACATGTGGAGGCTGCTGCTGTGTGAAGCCACTGCCACCGTCATGGCCAAAGGATTCGACATCCTGGGGATTAAGCCTGTGCAGAGGATGTAGCTGTTCTCTGTGGAGTGACAATAAAGGGACGAAACAACTGGATGTGTCTGTGTCTGTTGGGGTGGGGTTGTGGTAAGGGAAGATGCTCTAGGGGAGCAGCACCTCCTTAGGAGAGAAAGGGAAGAAGGAAGGAAAGGAGGGGGGCAGGGAGGAAGGAAAGTAAGAAAAAGAGAGAACAGGAGCATGGCTTCAGAAGCTGCAGGTACAGAGGCAGACAAGAGGGGTCATGGGCACAGCTCAGAGCAATGCTCTGTGCAGGAACAAAACCCCATAGGCCCATGCCCAGGGCTGCTCTGCTTCAGTCTGCAGAGTTTAAGGACTGAACTCAGAACACCCAAGAGCACCTCCAGGAAACCCTCCAACCACAGCATAGTCACCCACACTCCCAGAGCCAACCTTACTCTCATGACTCCCACCATCCTCTTTACCTTATTTGCCAGGTGTGAACAGGTCACCCAGCTTTTGATATCATCTCTGGCATCCCTCAGCAGAGCACAGAGCTCTCAAGGGAGCCAAGCAGTCTCATCCCAGCCCAGCAGTGCAAGGCCCCGGCGCTCAGGATGCTTGTTTCATGGAAGTTGGCAGTGACCAAGGCAACAGTCAAGTACCTGCAAAAGAGACTGAACATCATACTCAAGGACTGAACCTTAATGTAACACACCAGGGAGGTGTGAAACAACACATGCTTACCAGGACAGTGGAGTACAGGCTGTGGGGTGTACCACCTACAAGCAAACACATCCACATCAGTGCCCTGTGCAGGTGGCTTGTACCAGCCCTCAAAAAAGGGGTGGCTTCCGAGTGCCTCTCAGAGGACAGCAGTGTTAGGCTGCATGTGGGGGGGAGCAGCACCATCAGCTGCCAGCAGTGCTGGTGTAGGCAGGCAGGCAGCAATTTTACCTGGAGGCACAGGAAGCCCAGGGGAGGAGCAGCTCAATTAACTATGTTCCGTCAGAGGAAGACACAAGGGAAATGCCTTTCCCTGCAGCAGCAATGTTTTGAATCCCTACAGAGTCGGCAAACCTCTTTGCAGGGTGCATATTGATCTCAAGTAACCGCGAGGCCAACTACAAGGCAGTGGGCCATGGCTCCTGCCTTTGCTTTGGGATTTGCTGGAAGCTGTGCTGTGCAAGGTAAAGCAGCATAGAAATGAGGCTTTGCTACCATTAGAGAGTAAGTGTTGCACTTGATTTAGGTGCTCACTGACATATGCATGCTTGTGCATAGATACGTAGCGATACAAAAAATACGTGTATCTATTTACCTGATGTCCTAGGTTCTTTCCTATATAGACAGTCGGGGGGAAGGCTCGGCTATGACAGCTAGACAGTGCCTAGCACCTATTGTGCACAGATCTGGCACTTAAACAAGCACACGCCTGTGCAAACATGCACTCCTGAGCACTGGCTGAACAATGCCCACAAACAAAAACCAGACCTAGCTCTGGTGCCACGCTAGCAGCATGACAGCCCTATGTGCTGGGGGCTTCACCAACTGCCCAAACCACGTGCTGTTGCTACCTGTCCATCTCCTGTGTGCGCACCGGTGTCGTGGCCATGCCCTCCCTCCTCCCAAGGCTGGACCAGGCGCAGGCAGGAGGCCAGGCTCCTCCGGAGCACCCCACCGTGGGGTCAGGGAGCAGCAGGGAACAGCTGCTCCGGGGCTGCGATGCTGAGCACAGTCCCATGGGGTAGGGCTGGGCAGCGCCGCAGCAGCCAGAGCCCTGTCCCACCGTACCTGAGGGAGACGCAGTGGCGTGGCGACCAACCGAGAGTCCCAGTCGCAGGGGCTGAGGCCAAGCCAGGCAGGGTCAGGTTCGGTGGTGGTAACAGCATCAGCTGCAGTCCAGTGACGGCCACGGTGACCAGGCAGGGCCAAGCGTCAGAGTCCAGGTCTGGGTCCAGAGCACCGGGTGCGTGTCCAGGCACGGGCATGGCTGAGGCAGGCCGCCCCGCGGAGCTGCCTGCGGCCCCTCCTCAAGGTCACCAGCAGAAGGGGGACAGCCCTCTCCGGGCAGTCCCCGAGTCTCGGCACCAAATCCTTGCCCTGGCAGGGGGCACACGAGCCAGGGCCCTGGCACCCCTCAGTGAGGGGCCGCCCCACAGCTCGCAGGCCTGGCATCAGCAGCACTTCTTGTGAAGCGCCCTGGTCCTAGCAGGAGTGTGCAGGATGGTGGTGGGTCCGAGGGCAGATCAGAGTCCCTGTGGGGCTATTTTGGGGGGACCACACAGCCAGGGATGGGACCAGCTCCCATATTTGCCAGGGCTGACTTGTAGGATGCGAGGCAGGCATCAGGGCACCCCAAGGGGCCTCAGGGCCAGGCAGAGGGGTTCAGGCCACTGTTGAGGAAATGGGGACCCACGGTTGGGCTGGGGGTGGAGGGGGTCACTTAGGAGCCCTGGCCAGGTTGGGGACTGATGCCATGGAGAGATCGGACCCCAGGCTGGGCTGGGCTGGGGGGGCAGTGGGTGTCACTCAGGAGCAAGGGACTGGCTGGGGTGGGGTCAGTGCTGGGGAGAGCCCTGGGGCAGGGCCGTGTGTCAGTTCAGGGGAGCCATGGGACAGCCGCCCCGGCCCAGCCGTGGTGCCTGAGCGGAACGTGGGAAGGCCCGAGCTGACTGTCGGGGTGCACCAAGGGCTGGCGGCTCCCAAGGGAAAGGGGCCAGGAGTCAAGTGGGATAACGGGGCTGGCACAGCAGCCACCCAGTCCCACAGTACCTGAGCCGGGCCAGAGGTGGCAGCCAGGGTCAGCCAAGAGTCCAGATCATCAGACACATCCATGGTGATGCGGTCCGAGGTTGTGCCAGGAAGGTGAGTCAGCAAGGGAGGTCAGGATCAGGTCCAGTGACAGCAACCAGGGTCAGCCACAGTCTAGTGATCGCCAGGCAAGTCCATAATGATGAGGAAAGGCCGAGGTCAAGCCGGGAAGTCAGTCTGTGGGTCAAGGTCCAGGTCCAGATTACTGGGGTCCATGGCTATGCACAGGCATGGCTGTCATGCCGGCCAGGCCCCAGCAGCAAAACCTCAACTTCAACCCGCTCCTACAAGAAGGGATAGTCAGCCCTGGCCAGGGCCTCCCTGCAAGAGCGTATGGCAGCCTCTGCCCCACAGGTACTCTCTTAAGTTGGCCCTAAGCCCAGGGAGTCAAACCCCCATAGCAGCTGGGGGATGGAGAGGGAAATGGAGAAACGCTCTCAAAGCTCTTACAAATAGTTGTGGTAAAATCTGCAATGACATTAATTTTCTCTGTACTGGAGTCAGCAGGACTCACACCTATTAGAGGCTCAGAGAAACAGCTGGGCTAGCAGGGACCTCTGCAGGGCTCTGGCCCAAACTGCTGCTCAAAGCAGGCCACCTACACCAGGCTGCTCAGGGCCTTGGCCAGTGTGGGAACACCCCTTACGCCACTCCATGCTTTTGCTTTGCTACAGCAAGTGACATACCTGGAAGAGTCTGTTGCACTCCATTATCATATGGGCCAAGCCCTGCGTTGCTGCCAGGTTCTCACTCAGCTCCCTCTGGTCTGGTTTCCCCAAGCTGCACTTCCTCTGACTAGATCTATGGAGAGGAAAAGGCAAAAGCAAGATGCTGTGAACCACAAGTACAACGTGCCCACTCGGCTGGCCTGCCTGGGGGCTGGAAACCAGCAGCTTCAGCAAAAACACACTGTTGAAGGACCCTTATGTGCCATGTAGGAGCTCGTTACATTACATTACTGCAGCAAGGTCCATAGACAGTGTTCCCTCCCAGCACATCCTGAAAGTGCCTGGGGCAGTACTGACCAGTACTAACATATGCCCAAGAAAGGCAACTCAAGGCTTTTTATTCCCCAAACACATCATCACACACTTGGCCAAAGACAGCAATGACCCCAAACTGATTTGTGTGTAGCCTTCAAATATCAAGCTCCTTTGATACCCTGCAAAGCCCATGCAGAACCTTTTAAATCCTTTGGCCCAAATCACACCAAATGTTTCAAAAACAGTCCCTGCTTTTAATTCATAATCATTATATGACATCATTAATCCTTGCTTCTGATACTTTTATCTATGTGCATTCCTGCCAAATGGCTTGAAAATTGGGTGGAAGATAAAGAGTCCTCAGCCCTGCTCCTCAAAGTCAGACCTGTCAGCTCCTACCCTTTGAAGTTGGAACCCTGCACTATGGCATTAATGCCCAGTTACAAAAAAGCTAAAGCTTCAAAGCATCCCGGCTTCTAAACAGTGACAACAAAGAGAAAACTCAGTTTCTATTCTTGGTCCTAGTATTTGAAAGTAATGTTTATGTAAACCAAAGAGGTACAACGCTCAAAGTATGACTCCCAGGAGCTCAAACACAAGTGCAATCCAGGAAGGACCTGCTGCCACTACAGCTCCATCGCATCCCCACCTGCCCTTGCAATGACCACATGGCTCCCTGGCCACATGCTGGCTCAGCCCAGGGATAGCTGGGCAGCCCTAGGCTCTAGTTACGCTTAGGCATTTTCAGATGCTTTGTGCCATTCAAAAGAGAAGTCCTTAGTGTTTTCTTTCCTCTCTGTGCTAATCACAGCCTGCATTATTATCCTGAAAGATGCCAATAGCACATCTGACAGCTTCTGCTTTGGAACTAGTCCTCATCTTTAGATCCATATGCGAAGTGATGAACTCCCTACTCTGATGGGTGCATAATGTTTCCATCAAAAAGTCAGCTGTCCTCTTCTACCCTGATACGTGTCTGTCCATAGCAGGAGCATGGAGTAAAGCAAACAGCCCTGCCTCAGGAGACCAGATAAGGCATGAATGCTCTCAGAGATTATTTGTCTACTTTGGCCCAAGGGCACCTTCCTCCCTGCACGTACAAACAGGGGATATTATGCAACCCAGATACTTATTAAGATAAATTTACAGAATCCCTGTGGCTTGGTTTGGCAGGAACGATCCCCTTATCACCCAGCAGAGCTAGTGCCAGCAACTGCTACAATCTGCCAGATATCTGCAGGGACTTAAAGCTGCACCTGGGTTTAGGTTGCCAGTGCAAGAGCTACATTTTCAATGGCCAGCACCTCCTCAATGCAAACTGTGGGCCACATGCCGGGTTCCTGGGCAGCTGGACCTGTGGACAACCGCAAAGAATACAGCAGTCGTGAGGGAGGCAGGCTAGCTCACATGCAGACTAGTCAGGAGCGTGACAAGAGGGCCTTACCATTGTTCTCTACACTGGACAGTGAGCTGCTGGATCGTTGCATGCACTGTGGTCAGCTCCTGCTGGACCTGAACAACAGTATTTGAGACAAACCCCAAGACACATACACTATTTCCCCCTTAAAAGCAGACACTGATCCTAGGCCAGCTACAGAAGACATTGTTCCAGCAAAGAACAGTACGGACAGCAGCAATGCCAGCATTAAGATGCTAATACCTCATGGAGGAGGAGGAACTATCCCTTCTCAAGGTGTTGAGGTGAAACAAAGAAGGTGCAAGACAGACAGCAATGTTGGTTGGGGTCATCTGGTTCTCCTCAACAAAAGCAACCACATCTCGTAGAAAGAACAGGAGGATTTTCAGAGCTTCTCGGTTTTCCTTTGGGAGAAGGAGAATAGCAGCCTGGACAGCCTGAAACTGCTGATCCTTTGGCACGTCTGAAAACAGAAAAAAAATGATGAGAATCACATATGACTTGCAGAGGAAGCATCCATCAACAGAATCCCAAGGACATTGAAACTGTAGGTTCATCCATTTTCCTGTGACTCTAGCTCACAACAGACAACACAAAGGCCATTATCACAGTCACATCACTCAAGTACAGTTTTCTCCTGTTGCCTGTCAAGATGCACATTCACACTCAGCGATGCTGGTGCTTGACTTGCAATTCACCTGGAACACCATGCTAATGAACTTATCCTGAACCGGCTCTGGTTACAGTCCAAATAAGGGCTTGTCTCCCCATAAAATATTACTCTGGAATGATACTTTGGAGCAGATAGCTACTTTACTGTCTTTTCCTTTCAGCTTCAGGCATGAAGACAACAGATGCTCTCAGATGATAACTCAATTCAGAGAACAATGTTTTGCCAACAGATTTTAATTCACACTAAAACCCAGTGAGCCTTTGTGCCCAAACAGCTCCTGCAGGAGAGTAGGTATGGTTCATCCTGCCGTGCATCCCCCTATCATGAGTATTTCTCCAATTTACACCACTACAAAGGGTAGAAGATCACTTCTCTTTCCCTTCAAGTAGAAGCACATACGTAGAACACACAAAACGTGCTTCTTGGTGAAAGCAACACATTTCTTACCTCCAAAAGATAGTAATTTAATCTGGGCACTTGCTCAAGTCACATGTGCCAGAAGATCAGTGAGTGGAATTCAGTCATTTGCTGTTTCTGTCCCATAACAAGAGACAGGAGATGGACAGTGGCCAGGTTATAACAAATGGAAGAAAATGGTTCCACATCCATTGGACAGAGGAATTGTGGACCTCCTTACAAAAAAGGATTTGTGGATGCAAAAAGAAAACTTGCTTCAAACAAATAAACAAACCGTTTTCAGAAATATTCCTAAAAGCCTGACAGGTTAAAAAAAAACCCAACCAAACTTTCACAGACGTACACCGTACACAGGACAGCAGCCGCTCACTTACTCGTGTCGATAAAAGTCACATAAAACACACTGAAAACCAGTCCACTCAGAAATCTCATACTTTGACTTTCAAAACTTTTTCTCAAAAGGAAGAAACTTGCCTGTAGCAACGTCATCATAAGCCCCTACAGCAAGCTCCTTCCCCAGCCCAACTGCTTTTTGAAATCGAATTCCTTTACGACAAAGTACTGGAGATGGAACATGTTTAAAACTATATTCAATGCTAGATGTCAGCTTCACGTTTCCTTCTTTTTCAGGTTGAGTCTCAAGGATAGTAACAGTGAGAGCACAGGCAGAAAGTTGCTGGCAAGTTTTACAGCAACTGTGCTTGGGCACCTTAATAAAGAAATGTCATCAATATAACATGACTTTTTGCACAAGGAGCTACTTCATACCATGAACAAGGGAACTAGATTCTTTCTTAATTTTGCATAAGGAAATGACCATTTAAAAACACATTTTAGGAGGGCTGCTATAACATAGGTTATTACACTCATCCTTCAAAGAACAGAAAAGACACAATGTTAGAAAATAGCTGGCCCATAGGATGCAGATGGTGAAGTCCTTAAGTCCAGAGCCACAATGAACTCCTCTCTTCAGAAACATCCTGCCTGTCTTGTCTCCTCTGACTACAAGGGGACATGGCACTAGTTCCAGCCTGGCCAGTGCCTTGTACAGTTGAACATTAAGATATTCAAGGAACTGGAAAACTATAGCTTTTGCTACCTACATTGGTAGATGTGGAGGAACGATTCACAGAGCCTGCTAGTAAATATAGGCTCGGGAAGGTCTCGGAAATACTGCTTCACCATATCTGCCACATCAAATGCTGACTGCCCTTCGTAACATACGTTGTTTGGGCTGGTTTCATTCATTTCTCTTAAAGACAGAATCCTGGATTTAACACCAGATTTTCGGAACAGGCCAACCTGCGGGTATAAGAAAATATTAAAGAAAGACAAAAAAAGGAGCCATCAGGAATCAAATCTCTGACAAATAATTGATCCTTCACTTTCCTTTTGTTGGCTAAGACCTTGTGGTAGTGGGATCTAACACCAAAATATTTTGGTATCATTAGAAGCAGGACAGATATTCCTCCCATGAAGGCAAACCATGAGTGATGCCAACAGAACCAGCTGTGAAAGATATACTAATTTTCATGTTTGTTTGATTGCTTTTTAGTTGATGCAAAGTTACTCTTTTCGACTTTTAAAATCATTACTATTGACATCTGGAAGTTTGTGTGAGCAGGCTATGTTCACACATTAGAACTGCAAGTTGCTAATACACCAACATGTGTTCATCCAAAAGCAGATGTACATCAATGCCCATATTGGAGCAAAGAAACTCAGACTGTGAGATCCACATGGTTCAGGTTTAACATCCGTCATGTCTGACACATCTAATACATCTGCAGGTTGGCAAAGGGCAACTGCCATTCTGAGGGAAATTATGATTTTATTTTTAATGTGAATGTCAATCAAGCTTCAGACAAAACCTAGATTTAGAAGTTGCCCATGAACTCAACCTCAACAAAGCTTCTGCTGAAAGTTTCACTGTGTGACACTGAGAGAGTATTTACATTCATCAGTTTATTTGTATTAACTGAATAGATACCACAACCTCAAAATGAAACACACTGTCTTCAGAAGAAACTGACTGCTCACACTCAAGTATGTGCCACCAAACTGCATTGTAACTTCACAGGACACACACATTTTTGTACTGCAGCATGACATTACACACCTATACAATTGAAAAGCACAGAAAAAAAAAGTCCTTTCTTTAACATGTCTTATGTCACAGGGTCTCCCATGTCTGCAACTATCCTACAGAAATAGCATATGCAACACACACTTTCATTGCCATGCACACATCTCCACTTAGTGGATAAATACAGATTTGAGCTCCAGAAAAAGATGTTACAGGAACTGCTCTAATATGTTTTACCTCTGCTTAGTGGCACATTTCAGCTGAAACAAGATTAATTATCACATTAGCTCTGACACTTAGCAGCAACCACAGAACAGAGGGAATAACGACATTGTGTGGTAGATTTACTTCCTAAGGGAGCAGAGACATGCTACCTCACCAGGAGAAGACAGCTTGACTGCCTGCATCAAGAGAACTGACTGCAGATGCTTTCAGTGAAGCAAGGCACAAAAATACAACACAGGATGAAAGATATTCCCGGAAGGAAACAGCATTGGCATTTCCTTGCAGGCCACCTGCTCAGACCTACACCCTTCTGCCTATTCAGAGCCTTAGGAGGCAAGAGAGTCCCTCACAAAAGCTGGAAGCAGAGACTGGTTCCCTGGAGCAGATCTGTTTATAGAACAGAGCTGCTCTGGGCTGCCTCAAGTTCATACCTGGTCAAGAAAGTGGCTTCTTAAATAGTCCAGTGCTTGCAGTATGCCATTAGGCAGTGGGTGGCTTGTTCGCTGAACATTCAGAAGTAAAGGAACCCCAAACACATTTTTGTCCTTGTAGTCAGAGGCTTTTATTTTTTTAATGAACTTTGGTATAGTCCTGAAAACAAAAACCAGTGCATGCAACTTAGTAGCTCTCCAGCACAGTTCCACCTGCTACTTTAGTTACAGGCATGGGAAAGGATTTAGTTATACTTGCCACAACCCCAAATTCTGCCGCATACCTGTACACATAGCATCATAAGATAGAGAGAAAATCATTAAGGTGCTAAACTGATACTTCTAAGTCCTCTGAGTGACTGACTTTTTGTCATTGTTTTAGTTCAAACAGGGACTTGATGCTGAAGAGATGGATTCTCAGCCCAGCCAGCTCTCCCCTCAGGTCCTGCAATCTCTGTGAAGGACCTCTGACAAAGCCCTGCAAATGGGCAAATTCAGAGAGAAACTATAACGTGCTTTAATATCAGTAACATGACCACCAGTGAGGAGCAAAAGTGCAGTCCATAGCAGAGGAAATCCTGGAGCCATTGAAATAACTGTGAAACTGCCAGTGATTTAACAGGATGAAATTCCTCATCTTGGACAGGTGTAATCTAGGCAGACAAGGAAATTCCCCTGCTTACATCAAATCCTCTCTCTCCAACACAGGTTGCTTTAATATTAGACAACTTACCAGTTCCAGCCCTGCTTACTGGAAGGGGAATATCTGTCCATTAAAGCAGTGAGTTTCAACAAAGCCAGCTTTTGTGTCCGGGCTAGCTGGGCAGCTGACTGGCTATCAGTCTGGATGGAATGGCTTTCCAAGTTCACACTCTCTTCCACAGACCAGTGTTGCTTCCCATGCCTATGGGATAAATATCGTTTAAGCTTAGGAGTATTTCCATTGTCCCTGTTAGTCTTCTGTCTGCATCTGTGAAGCACCTAAGACTCTAAATGACCTGCAGTTCCTGAACACCATATGGTTAGTTGCATTTAAACAAGGTACTTCTCATCCAGGAGGCACTCTGGCAATATAAAATAATTCAGTAAGAAATACAGCAAGCTAGCCATAAAGTCTGATTCCAAATGTCTAAGTGCTCATGCAGATCATGAGCACCCTACTTTCAACAGAGGTCAGAGCAGATGTAGATACCAGAATGCCTACAGACCAGCAATACCTGGCACCAGCACTGCAGATCCTGCTACCCAGAACAGACTTACTTAAGGATACTTTGTTCTGGAAAAGCAATTACATTTTGAGTGGAGAGAATCAATGGGGAAAGGTTCCCAAGGGGCAGTCAACTAGGGAAGCCCAAGGATGGCTGACCTGTTGATCTTCTTAGAGTCTGTCACATATGCCAGGTCTGCAGAACTGATCTCCTTGCCCAGTTCACAGCTGCTCTCTCCCTCAGTGGTTGCGAGGTCTGCTCTCTTATCTTCTGAGCCCTCTGTTTCAAGACAGATTTCCTTAGGTGAGGATGGATACAAAGAGGTCAAGTCACTGGCAAAGTCCAAATCTCCATCATCAGAGAACTTCTTTGTCCACTGATCAACCAACTTTTTGAGACCGTTGACATCTTCTATGACGTTGTTCAGTTCTGAAAAAACATCATCATCACCAACTTGTGCTGCCTCCAAATTATCAAGTTCAATACTGGGCATGTTGTCATATACACTTAGTCTGTTATCTGTGCATGAAAGGGGATTCCTGGGGGCTTTGGAGTCCTTGGAACTGCTTCTGCTCTGGCTCCTCCTGCACCCATGAAAACTCCCAGTTCTCCAGTTGATGGAAGAGTTGTCTACTGGAGACAGGGAGCTGTTTGTAAGTGCTTTGGGGAAAGTGCCAGGTTTATGGCCTTGTGGTATTTGAAACATCTGGTTCATTTGTAATGTCATGTCATTTTTTAGGTTTTGCTGAGATAGATCATCCCACAGCAAGAGCTTGCTAGAATCCAAGTCCTCTGCATACACCCCCCTTCCTTCACAGTGGCTTTGTGGTTTTATAACAGGACTTGGAGTGCTCACTGTGCTGCTATTTTCAGACTGATTGCTGCTATTGCAACTCTGGGGAGAAAAGGAAGAATTGTTCTTTGTTTGGATGCTAGAGAGGTCAGAAATATTTACACAGTTCAGCATCTTCATCTTTTCTTCATTAAGTCCTTCTAGAAGAACAGGTTCACTTATTATGGGTTTGGCCTTTGACTGACCACTCCTTAAGTTGCAGCTCCTTAAGTGCAACTTCTCCATTTTCTTTAAAAGGCTCTTCCTCTTTTTATATGGTGACTTATCCAAAAGCTTCTCTTCACTGGTGATATTTAAAAATTCACCGCAGGGAGGAGAACAACTAAATGTAGAGTCCAGTGAAGCCACCTTAATTGAAGAACATCTTGAGGAACTCGTGCTGGTTTCCACATCTTCAAAAGGTTTTGGGAAGCTAACAATGTCACTGTCACCACTGCTAGCACTGTGAATTGAGGACACATCATGTTTCTCGCCATGATCCAGAAAGATAGCATCCTCGTTGATGATGCTCTTCAGCATTGGACTGCCTGGGACTGATGCACTAGCACCTTCCTCTCCTGGAAAACCTTCTAGGCTCTCGATACGAGACCATCTCTGACTGCACCTCTCATAAGCCCATTTGTTACTTATGGCACAAGGTTCATCATCTTCAGAGTCATCACTCTTAGAAGGAAAAAAAAAAAAGTACAGTTCAAGGGCAAAGTTTGGCAAACTTTAAATTATGAAAAAATGTAACAAAAAAGGAGACTTAAATTTTCTACCTTCCTCCAAAACCCCCAAGACCAACAAATGGAAATGTAACCATTCAGTTACTGATGGTCTGCCCTGAGCTCTGTTCTGTTTGTTGAAAAACAAGCTGACAAATTACTCCCAAGCATGCTGACAAATCTGGTAAGTTTACCATAGGAAAAGATGATAGATTTGATCTGAGGATGAAAAATTCTGGTTTGCAGCAAATCCAAAGGTTCTGAAAGATAATTGTATTGGTTTTACATGGCCTTTCCTAAAGCCAAACAAATCAAACATTCTTTCATGCTTCCGTGACCAAAATTCATCCATTTTCAGGTAAAGAAGTATTTGGCTGTGGGACTGGCAGCATCAATATCTGGTGTACCCTCCTGGAGACCTCAGCCTCACCACCCATTTGCCCCAGGTGCTCCACTTGCTGTACTGTCTCCATGCCAAGTGAGTGCCTGGCCAGCAAACTGTTAGAGAGACGGAAATGACCTTTCCAAAAAAGTAGACATTTTTCCAAAAGACGACATTATTTTTTGGCTAGTCCTGCAGTTAATCCATGGTACCTAAGAGGCTTTACAATCCTGATGTTAACTAGCCAAGATGTGGCTATAACTCTGTGTCAGCTACTGTACTTTTTTGCAGGAGAGGACAAAGCTATCACAGCTAAAACCTATCCAGCTTCTATTGGCTGGACATTTGACATTAGCTGACACTATTTGGATTGTCCATTTTAATTTTTTATCCTTCGTTTAGTCAGTAAGAGTGAAATTTCACTTTCAGGCCTTAAATAAGATGTGAAACTACTTAGGAAAGACACGCTGAGGTGGGGCCTTGGTGCAACAATTGGACAGTTAAGTGTGTCAAATTATTTTTAAAAACCGTTTCAAAACCCATCCCTAACCTACCATACAAAGTTACAAAATGAACATTACATAATTTCAATCTCCATCGCTATGTTTTTCAGCAGAAAATGCAAATGGAAGAGCTTTACAGGATGGAAGAGAATAGAAAGAAAAGTTCAGAAATTGCTAATCCCTCATACACCTTTTAAAAATAGGGTTTTGATATAATAGCTAAGCACATTTTTAATGAGAAAATTAACTATATTTTACAAACTTACCCGTTTCCTCTGACGGCTTATTTCCACTTTCATTGATGCACACTTGTTCAATGTGTTCAACCGTCTAGGGTATAAGAAAAAAGACAGAAGTTTTAAATTTAAACTATTTTATTTCTTGTTAACAAACATGCACCAAATTAGTTGTGAACTTCTACCATGGAGTCTTCATTATTGGTATCAAAGACTGACATTCTGTTAGAGGTTCTCCATACATTTTGCCAAAACCAGCGCCAACTAACAACCCCATGATGTTCACAATTCCAGTTCTGCCATCTTAAAATTAGAGAAGAGGACCATAATTAATCAGTTGATTTAAAATCATATGATGAGCTTTAACGATTGTGAAAAACTGTACATTGATGTAAGATTTTGCAAATGAAAGAAACCCTAAGTGGCTTTCTTAAAAGAATAAAAAAAAAAAAACATAAAAGACATTACCCTGTATCCTTAGGACTTTATTATCTACCATTTTAATTAAAACTTGCGGAATCAATAAGGCTCAAAACTCGTCAGTCACTTTTAACTGTCAAACAAATATGTGGTATCAATGGGGAGGCACATTGACAGCCTTCAAGGAACACTCAGGATAGAAGTCATATCAAGAAACAAAATATATACAAAGTTCTCTAATACCTGCTGTGCATTAGAGATGTATATGCAAACAACTCCTGTTGGTGCTCCTGTTACAAGCAGAATTTGAATTCAGGTGACCTAACAATACAGAAAAGGACCAAACCACTTTGCCAGAAGAGGAACTTTCCAGTCCCTTAAGAGTTAGACGTTCTTATTGCGTCCCTCAGATCGGACGAGCAGTGTAGCATGGATAGTCCGGAGTTCACTTCAGCTGCTAAACATTCTCATAATGAGAAGGCTTCAATAGCTGCAGTAAGTAGTTAAGTAGAATGCCTCTACGCTATCCTTGCACTCTTACATGGGGAAAAGTCCAAAGAGCAATGAGTTTGACTTTGTACCTACGATGCAATTTCACTTGTGTGCTGTGAACAGCTGTGGCAAAACTATAATTTCAAATCAATACCTTTGCTTCTCACTCAAAAAAATATTCAGGAGAACAAAACAGAAAACGTATCTCTTGTGCAGATTGGTTTTGCTGTTTATCTCCTGGAACAGCTCTGGGGAAGATCACTAGTCGGAGGAAATCCCTGCACTCTGTAATATGCAATTCTGAAGAGCAAACTGTCATGCTACCATATGCTTGCAGGGAACTGATTATTCTTTCTCAGCCTGCAGACATTTCACATTACAGAAAAGACAGATTTGATGCTTAGTGTAACGTCACTGAGACCTTGGCTGAAGAAGACATGCTTACTTTACCTTTTAAATTCTTAAAACAACCAACTTCAGTGGTACTAAAGTATGTGCTTAAGTGATTTCCTTAAGTCACAGCATTGGTGACTTTGTTAGTCTCTGACAAAAACTAAGGCATGAAAAGATGAATGACAAATAACTATGGAGCCTGGAGGTATTAAAGATGATACATAATAAATGTTTACCTGAATAGTGATTCAATCGCATCTCCATCTAAAAATTCATGATCTTTCCTTACAGTTTTTACATCAATAGGAAACTGCATATCTGTAAAGAAAGAAGCTGAATCTGAAATCTGAGTTATAATTGCAAAGACTTCGAATTTTGCAACATATTTATCATAGGTAAAATAAATCTAAATCTATTTCTACAACTACATCATCACACAAATGTCCTTCAAGTAAGTGAGGATCAGTTCCTTAGATCAAGTGGCAGAATAAATGTAGGTATCTGCTTGCTGTTATTAGTTACAGGTAGACAAGCATTTGCTGCATTTGGGGAGCTTGCAGTGGCTAAGTACTATAGCCAAGAAATGCAAAATTAAAGTTTTGCTTTGGTTAGGTTCTCTCCACCTTCTGCCTTCAAGTACAGTATAAAACTAGGAGTATTTTACGTAAGCTTTTGCTGAAGGTAAGGTACTATGCAGCACACAACATATGGTCTTTGAGGTGTAGGGAGCGTGACACATCATGCTGCGCTTGAAGCCAATCGACACACCAGCTGAAGAGTTCAACGTTTCAGCTTTAGAGATTTAGCCTTGCAGGTGAGGAAACCAGTGAGACCTATCAGTATTTTCTTGGCTTACTTTTTAAGCTTAATTTACCTAGTCAAGACACTGCATAAACAGCATGGTAATTCTTCCAGAAGCATGATAATGTACATTTCCAACAAACTGTAAGATTGACAGCTTATATAATAAAATCTACTGTAGTCAAACAGGAAGCATTTCCATGAGACATCATGTTTCATAGTATACAGCTTTCAAATTTGGCTCTATTGCTTGACTTCCAATTTTTAATTTTGCAATGAACAGGGGAGGTGGAAATGAGAGCAGGCAGAAGTTACTGTTAGTTCTTTTAACTGTAGTTCTTTGATAAAATCTCTCTTAAAAATAGACTAACTTTTGTTACATTCAATGTTTGTAACAATAAACATATTTTAAAGAAGAACAGTTTTAAGGTATAAGCACAAATGTTGTCTGAAAATTATACAAGTTCTCAACAAATACGTATCTCCCCCCCCAGCTAATAAGCACTCTTTGTGGCTTTAACAACATGAAAACATGCTGAAATTGCACTGTTTGACTAGCTGGCTGCTTCTGAATATATGTTTTAAAAACTTATGATTGCAAGATGATTTTTCCAACACTCTTTTTCAAAACACCAATAAAACAATCTTGCTCAAGAGCACAGGCTGGAGGGCCTTAGATGAGTTTTGGTTGCAACCAGTGAGTCAGAAAAAAACCCCAACACTCCAAGGAAAAGAGCCTGAGAAAATTATAAGCAACTAAAAATCGCAAAAGCAGAAAATTGACTGAGTTACAGTCTAACAATAACCAGGAAAGATTTGGTCCTTTACAGAATTCTACTGAGTCCATGCTAACCTAATTATGATGTCACTTCTGCAAGAACACGCTCCATCTTAGTATTTTTCTACAGGTTTGCATGAAGATATTACAGAATTTGGAAGTGCTTCCATCAAAAGTGTCGGGTTCTCAAATATTTATGTAAACAATTCTACTTGAATTCAGTGTCAGCTGCTTGACAAGTCTTTGGGATCATACCTTCAAATAGCTGAGCATACTGGGGAAAACCGGCAGCTCTCAGCCAGTCACAGGCTTCTCTGGCTTCAATTTCTGCAATGAGAACATAAAATTGTTCACTTACAGCACTCACAAGCGTTGGTGCTTTCACAATATAAGCAAGCTAATTTTATCTGGTGGATTCTCAGAGGATCTTGTATATGAATGTTTTGTTGATATATTACTAAAAAGAAAGAAATTCTTGTATCCAATGCACTTACGCGTACGTAGCTCTGGAGTAGTCATTCCAACATAGGTTAGACAGCAAACATACGAGAGTCTAGATATAAGCACATACTTGAGATGTCATACATCGGTGTACACCAACTACCCCTGAGATTTGGACAGTGAAGCATCTGTTATATGTCGAAATAAGTCACCAGAAAAGGGTATATGATACACATGTCTATGCCTTTGCACAGCAAAGCCCATTCATGCATTCCAGTTCTGAGAGATGGTGATAAGACACAAACAAATCCTATAAATAAACTTAAAATGCTATCACGACATTAGTAACACTGGACACGGCCTAAGCATTCCCAGAACAAGAGTTCTCAGGAGTACCTGTTGCTAGGGTCTATCAATATTTATTTCCTTGCCAACTACCCACGCAACTTGGCAGTCACTTCAGCACAGCAGATGTCAAGAATTAACTGGTCATTTTGTGACAATTCATAAAGCCCTATGGCCAATATTGTAACATTCCCATAGGAGCAAGAGCAGAATATAACTTCACAGAATCACAGAACACTCACCAGATTCCTTATAAACATGTTTAGCGTGAGTACATCCCAGCAGGCTCTAAACTCTGAAATACTAGTAATTACTGGGTCTATTGAAGAGGAGAGGATTGCCATACTAAACATTTTGTATGTCTGCATGTACTCCAGCACATGTTAACACATACACCAACCAAAAGGCAAAGACTCCTTTGAAAGAAACGTTTTTAAACTACCTTAAAATGAAGCATGCTCAGTAGAGAGAAATGTTTTTAAAGCACCTTAAAATGTAGCTAGGCTGGAGGAACAGACCTGTTTCTTAAAACTATTTTCTTTACACATACACTCAAAGATTAGGATTCCAAGGCACTTCACATATATACTATTCAAATTCACCGGTTGCTTTGCTCTAACTTCTCAGTTGTAAGTCATCAGTGCAACAGACTGAAGAAACTCATCAAAAATCTTACAGAACTTCCATGATTTTATTATTCTTCTGCTAAACTTTAAATTATTTCCATTATCACTTGATTAATTTGGACAATGCCATCCATAACAAATGCTTTCCTGCACAAAACTCTGTGGCTTTTTCATCTGAGAATAAAGCGATACCACAGGATGATAAGGATACTTCTACATAAAACAGATGCATGACTCTTTTTTTTTTTTTCAAACTGCAGAACAGAAACTAATTTCTTCCACAATAGCCTGTATACACTATGCCTACATTTATTACTATACTTAGTGCCACAATTTATCATAATCTTTATCATAACACAGCATTTACTGAATACCAAGACAGGGGACTGATAAAACACAAGCATTGTACTCACAGAGCAAAACAGGAATGAAAAAAATCTGTAGAAAAGAGCCAGGAGGATGACCGGTCTAACACTAAAAGTCTTCACAAAGACAAAGTGATTTTCACTTAGAAAAACGCAATAGACTTATTCAACCAGCTCAGCTGTGGAGAAACTATAGCTGTCCTCATTCCAGACCTCACTTCAAACTAGCCAACTTGAGCCTGTGCACAGCTTCCCTGAGCTCAGGCAGGAGAGTGACTGTGTAGGGGTTGAAGCTTCCCCAGTTCCCAACACATTAAAAGTACAACTTTATTTTTAGAGCTAACCAAGCCATGAACAGTGATGCAAATAAGAACAAGCTAGAAAATATTTTGCAACTAGTGATAACATTTTCAGTGTATATGACTGAAAAATACAATGGCATAGAGGTGTTTCTTCCATAAGACAAGAACAGGAGCTGGGGGAATTTTCTTTGCTGATGTAAATCTTCAGGCCTTTTAACATACCTTTGCACAGTCCCGTGCTGCAATGCCACTGCTGTACTAGGAGACAACACATGAAGCACTAATAAGTTCTTGGCCTGCATGTCTACAATTATTTGCCATTAGATTTGCTGCAATTATTTCACTGCTAAAATAACTACCAAAAGGGTCCTACTGATACCTCTCTATTTCAGGGATGTCTACACTGCCTCCTCTCAATCCTACTGGAAATTGAAATCATGCAGGGATAATGGATGATCAGGAATTTTTCTCTGATGAAAGGAAATTCCCAGATGAGCCTGTATTACTATTATAATGACTAATATGAGAGGAGGAAATAAAAAGGAAATAAGAAATAATAGCTCAAAAGGAAATAACTGCTCTCCATAGGGCTGCACTCAGTGCTGACGTTCAAGACTGCTTGGCTTTTATGGCATGTGCAGCCTGAAGGACAAGTGAAAACTCGTTAGGTAGTAGTGGCAGAATACAGATGAAGCACCCCAGCAGAGCTCTCCGTCAGGGACCCCGGAGAGTTCTCAAGCTCTGGGAACAAAAGTCACAGAGACGTAAAAGAAGAGCAATAATCATGAGTAGCATTAATGGCTAACACTAACATACCCACCTGGGGCAGCAACTGTTATAAACGTGCAACAGATACTTATAAATCCTGCCCTAATGGAGGTGCTAAAGTAACGATCACAGTCCTGGCAACTTGCATGATGCTTTAAGGCACGCATTTAAAAGCTGCCAAAGCTCAGTTTCCTATGTAAGATTCCTTCATAAAAAGCAGACGCAATCTTCTTGAAGACTCTTTGGGGCTATTGAAAGGATACAAATCTGTACAAATAGTACAGATGAGCCATTTGTGCAGAAGACCCATTCCTACCTTCTGATCCTAGCTTGGCCTCACAGACTGTCTACTCTGCCTCGCCGTGCAATGATGACATGTACCATCCCAGCCAGCCTCACTGACTGGTTAGAATTTGCTTTCCCATTTCTATAGTCATGGAGTCACTACAAAAGAATCTTCCAGGTTTACTGACCAACTTTTAAAATAGATGTACTAATAAACACAAGCTGATAGCAATTGCTTAGTTCTTCCTGATGTTAGAATAGCTGCTCAGATGCTTGTTGGGCAGAACTTAGCTCTTGCTGAATAGAAACTGGAACTGGTGGAGTCTTCAGAAAGCCGGCATGGAGCAGCACCCCCAAATACTATTGCAATTGCAACATATCTGCCTGTGAGTAGATGTCATACAAGAGGATGACAATTTTTTAACAGATGTTTTGGGTGCTATCTGCACAACTGAAATAGCAGAGCAACCCAAACATGTCACCTCCTTCTCACGAACTGATTTCATAATTAAGCAGATGGAAAAAAAAAATTCCTCCAAAGCTTAATATTCTACCTTAGATTAGAGGCTGCCAGCAAAATTTCCATGCCAAGCCAGCAGTCTCCCCATGGGCTATGGGTGATAGGCTACTACCAGATGTTTATGAGGAACAATATGCAAGGACATGACCTGTGACATCCTTTGGCTATACTATGTCACACAGGTCCATTCTATGCTGAAGATGATTCAGTCCAGTCCCACTGATAACAGCATTCAAAATGATGGCTGTGCCTCAGCCTGCCTGTCCCAGTGACCCCCAGCAGCCCTCCACGGCTGCTGCCCCTTTTTCTCCACTGCGGAGCCATTCTGTGCTCCACGGCCTCCTTCTCTCTGGAGCCCCAGTACCCACATCAGCTTGGCTGACACCTCCTCTCCTTCATCCACTTGGGCTGAAGACCTGAAAAACTGCGTTCCCCCATCTGAGCACTATCCTGTCTGCAGACTAGAGAGCAAACCCCGACTCATCAGGTACTTAGAAACCAGATGCTATGACATGTATTAAATTCCTATCTGAATGAACACCAGTGTTAACAGGAATGCTTGCATACTTAGTTTAAGCAATAGTGAAAAGACAGCTGTGCTGAGATTTAGGCATTCTCTCTGAGATGTTTTCCTCACAAGAAGCAGCACTTCCCTAACAACAAGGGAGAGGCAGCAACTGAAACAATGAGAAGCTGTATATGAAACAGACCAGTCTTACGACACGACGATCACAAACTTCAACTAAAGAAGAAAGGGTGCCAAATTGTACTTCAATTTTTTTTAAAATACTCGCTCTAAATAAAATGGGAGCATACCAATTTCTGTTCGAAAGAACAATGAACCTTCTTCTCAGGATGCAGCATGACTTCTCAGTTGCACCGATCTGCTGCCAAAGCAGCAGTCCTGTTTCTTTGCTCTCCCCCGACTGCACTGCACGCTCCTCGCTGCTAAGCCTGTAAGAGCAGGCCTGGCCAGCCAAACCAGCAGGAAACAATTCACTTTTTTTGGCAAGATCAGATTTGTGATGTGTTAGCTTTCTGCATCGGCTACCACACGTTCTGACGAGCACCAGTGACAAGACGAGGGCGGTGGTGGGCACGGGCAGGAAGGGTCAGGGGCACATGGAGCTGCCCACGGGGGGCCAGCAGCCCTTAGGGCAGCTCAGCGTAGCATGAAACCTTAGTCTACATGTATCGTTTCTCACAGAGGTGTCTCATTGTAGCTCTCCTATCTCAGAGTAATTTTTTTGCATATTTTTAAAAACCACGGTAGATGCATGACTTTTACTTCTATCTTCATCCAAAAGAGTTTTCCAGTTTTGACAGGTAAGAATCACACGGTGATCAGGTCTTAATTAATTAAAGGGATTTGTCTTGAAGTCTGAACATCTTCCAAAACCATGCCAGTGAGCAAACAGTTTGAGAGGTTTTCTTGCTGTTTGCAGCACCTCTACAGTAGTTACTCCAGGACCGTACTTGTCCCCTTTTCTGTAGTACGCAAGTGCAGTGCTTGCAAAAAGGAACAGATTTTCTCAACACGCCCAGCCAGGAGGCACCCACATGGCCGTTCTTTCCCAATCTCTGTCATTATATAGGAAGACTTTTTTTCTCCACATGGCAGTAATCCTACTACAACAGCAACAGACAAGCAGACACCCAGAGCCCCCGCCTCAAAACCTGCTGGATTTGGCACAGCACAGACAACTGTTCCAGCACAGCAAGATGC